TCTTACCAAATGAAATGCTCTTGGTAATTATCCGTAGTGAAGTTTCGATAGCCAATAATTTGGGATCGCTTGAGCGTTTAACCATCTTTACACACAGGAGGGCAACAGTTTATAGAACTAGTAAAAGTCAAGAAATTAGCAAATCCCCCCCACCATTGGATTTTAATTTCTCTACGAGCTCTTGAATACGACCTATAGGGAGCATCCCACGATTCACGTTCTTAAAAAGTGCAAATGAAAAGAACGTAAAAACTGATTTTCTGCATTTAAAGCATCTGGGAAACCAAGACAGTCAAAACAAGTTTTGTGACGCCAACCTACGGACTCCTTTTATGACTCGTGCGGAAGAGATAACTGTCCGATCAGAAGAAGAAGAAGCGATCGCTGGAACAATGGCTTTATTCGCCTGACGTTTCGGATTCTCTCTTGAATCCATCATCAGAGACAGTTGCAGAAAAGGGTGGTTAGTGTACAGGAAGTCGCAGTATTTGTAGGATGCGGCCGCCATGCTACCGCATACCTACAGCAATTAACTGTGCTCCCTTCATCAAGGATTGTTGCCCGCTGTTGCGCTAATTGCTTGATGGCCGGCATGCAAGTTGTTAACTGCTGACATCTCATCACCCGTGTTGGATGCTGGCGTGATGATTGCTCGGCCATCTGGCTCACGTGCTTGCGCACTCCTCGAGTGGTCAATTGCTTTGGCCAGTCTATGCCTCAGGACAGAATATGGAGTGGGGATGTCGTTGCACTTGTTGATAGACTGAGGTCCCGTGAACCATGACTCAAGCAACTCGCGGCTCACGCGATTATCCCCTCCCGCGAGAATTTCGGCCTCATCGAACTTGAATGTGTGGCCGGGTTTCGTCGAATGGGCCGCGACCTGAGAGTTGGCGATATTTCTCCGTACAGCTGCCACGTGTTCGGCGATTCGCGTCCGGAGTAGTCTTCCAGTTTCTTCGACGTAGTTGCTTTGTCCGCAACTGCACCAGATCCGGTAAACGACTCCAGATGTTTCTTGCCGTGGCAGTGGGTCTTTTGGTCTCATCACTTGACGCCTCATGGTGGCCTCCGGTCTGTGCGCAACTCCAACCCCAAGTGGTGCAAGAAGGCGGCTAACGGCCTCGGAGACGTTCTTGATGTACGGGATCGCTCGCCAGAATTTGGGGTCGGCGCGATTTTGTCGCTCGTCTCGTTTGCGCAGGCACTGGTTGACGAAGTTGCGCGGGTAACCGTTTTCTCGGAAAACCCGTCGAAGATATTGGGATTCGGCAACCTTGTCTTCCGGTTCACTGCAGTGCGTCTCAACACGCCGAAATAGCGTTCTTACGCAACTGCGTTTGTGGCTGATTGGGTGGTTACTGTTGAAATTCAGAATTTGCGTCGTGTTCGTTGCTTTTCTGAACACTTTGGTCTTAAGGCCACCAAAATCTTTGCGACAGACGAGGACATCAAGGAATGCCAGCTGGTTATTCTCTTCCTCCTCCATCGTGAATTGTATGTCCGGGAAGACGCTGTTGAGACGTTCTTTGAACGTTAGCACCTGATCCCGTTCGATGACGACGAAGGTATCGTCCACATACCGAGCCCAGAATTTCGGTCTGTGGTGTTGGAAGACCAGCGACTCCAACCGCTGTAGCACCGCCTCGGCGATGAATCCCGAAATCGGCGAGCCCATTGGTGTTCCCTTCACTTGCTCGTAGATTGTTCCGTCAAACGTGAAGTACGTCCTGAGACAGAACTTTAGGAGCTGAAGGACTTGGGCATGTCCGAGACCATAGAATCGGGCCAAAGCCGTTTCTTGGGCTCTCGCCTTGCGTCGGTCGGTCGCTGTTATTGCACCCGAGTTCTCCAGTGCCAACAGTGTTACATTAATTTCGCGAGTCAGCGTTTTTATGGGGTTGGTTTCACATGGGACATAGAACTGGCGATCCTCCAGTAGGTTTTTGGCCTTCTGAAGGTAGTCTGTTCTGTCCAGTAGGACGGTGGAACGCCCCTTGTCCGCGGGCACAATGACGATGTCCTTGTCGGCCTTGAGTTCTCTCAGTGCATCACGTTCGACCTTTGTGAGTGTTTCGCGCGGCTTGTGAGTCATAAGGAGGGACGTAACTTGGTGTCGGATAAGGTTCTTCGTCTCCTCCGCCGCTTCCGTCCGATAAATGACCGATTCCACTGCTGCAATCATGTTGACAGGTTTGGCGTCAGCTGTGTTGAATGAGGCTTCGTGCCGTAAAACCTGTGCTTGCTCCTTCGTCAGTTCCTTTGACGACAGGTTGTGTACCAGTGTGTCGCTTCTGGATGACGTTGGATCAGGCAGTTTGTGGAATTTGTTCCACTGACGAAGAAGCGAGAGGGGATAATCGCGTGAGCCGCGAGTTGCTTGAGTCATGGTTCACGGACCTCAGTCTATCAACAAGTGCAACGACATCCCCACTCCATATTCTGTCCTGAGGCATAGACTGGCCAAAGCAATTGACCACTCGAGGAGTGCGCAAGCACGTGAGCCAGATGGCCGAGCAATCATCACGCCAGCATCCAACACGGGTGATGAGATGTCAGCAGTTAACAACTTGCATGCCGGCCATCAAGCAATTAGCGCAACAGCGGGCAACAATCCTTGATGAAGGGAGCACAGTTAATTGCTGTAGGTATGCGGTAGCATGGCGGCCGCATCCTACAAATACTGCGACTTCCTGTACACTAACCACCCTTTTCTGCAACTGTCTCTGATGATGGATTCAAGAGAGAATCCGAAACGTCAGGCGAATAAAGCCATTGTTCCAGCGATCGCTTCTTCTTCTGATCAACTAGTTCCTGGAACTCGCATCTTTGCTTGTATCGGCAGATAACTGTCCATTACGGGTGGTAGAAAAACTCGTCCACGTGCCAGGCGTTTGCTGAACCCAGCGTAATTCTACGTTGTTTGTCAGGGTTAGAACACCGGTGTAAACGAGCATGATCAAAATCCGAACCCGCAACTTTTGCATGAATTGCTTATTAATCTTCTATATTTGGACACCCGTTTTCTGGCTGAGTTAGCTTAATATTCGTACAGTCAGTAGTAGTAGAAACTGCCCCCTCAACTTTATCCGTCTGGAGCAAATTTGTCAGACATACAACAGAAAGAGAACATAGTTTAGATGGAAAAAATACGTCTTCCGCATATTTCGCAATGCTGTCCTCGTCGTGTGATGCAGTCAAAGGGTCGACACGACCGTCTACCTGTCGTTATTCCCCGGAGACCTGGTGAAAGCCAAAAACGTAATGTAGTTTTCGTTATAAGCTCTCTTTGTCTAAAAGTGGAGTTCATTTTCAGTTTTCCAGAAGGTTGATGAGTATCGCGTAGCCCACTTTAGACAGGACCCAGAACACAATAAATGGGTGTATATATGAAGATCTTCGACGGTGGGGCGTTAAGCGATACGCCTAGACTGCACGATAGAGCGGAGGTGCTCATTTTTGCTTTGCGGTTCGTGTTTAAGATGTAAACCCAAGGACCTGAATTCAAGCATGAGATCAACTTGGCCAGTGGTTGGGGTATGGCCGGCAGAGGTCGGTAAACGAATGGGAAATGTCAATTTGGGCCTCCCTCGTCTCCGACTATATTGCTTGGTGTGGAATTTGTTTGAAAAATTTAGTCCCCAAATGTACCTTCAAAAGTGGACAGTGATGTGTACGTAGAGACTAGTTAATTTCCATACTAGCGGTATTCGTGGTTAATTTTTTTCGGTCGACGGTTAAAACCAGACGCGCAGAAGGCCTGTGGTTAGAGCGTTGTTTAATATCACAGAAGTTTCGGCCAGTAACATTAGCTTCGACATGGAAAAGCTCTGATTTATGAGCTGAAATCATATATTTAGCATGGACCTCTTATGTACACTGATCGATCCTGCTTATCACGCTGAGTGGGAGTCGGACGTCAAGTTACAATGCTTAAATTGCGGCTCATCTCGAGCTATGGGTTAAATCGGCCTTATAGTGCTAACTTGTTTCAGTGAAGTCACATAAAATTCTGAAAAAACCCTACGTCACAAAGGAAAGTTAACGTGAGTTACCTTTATGTGATTTCTGTCCATGAGAAACACGACTATCTTAACGAGAGAATCCAGAATGTCATCTTGACATCTCTGAAGGACCAAGTTGTTTAGAAAGTCAGAAAAATTACCTTGGTTTTTAAGCGCTTGAAGAGGGGTTTAATGTACTCCAGGGTCTGGTTATATGTGGCGCTGGCAATTTTGCCCTGGAAAGTAAGCTTTTCTTCCTCCGATCTCTCGTTCAGGGTCGTTCCCCACAAAGAGAGGAGGAACTAAAATGAATGAAAAAAGTTGAGCAGAGCTGTCGTAAACAGGCTTTTAAAAAGTCTGGGAATGATTACTAAGCAAGGTGTAACTATTAAAAGTGCATAC